GGGAGCCGGTGGGAAGGGTTCGAACAAGGGCGTGGTGCCGAGAAGGGGCTGAACTGGGGCAAAACGTGGATTTAGTCAGAAAGGGGAAGGCGGGTGGGGGGTGGCGGCATCCGAGGCAGAGGCTGGGGGAAGAGGGCGGGCGCCCTTAGAGGAGGGGTGTGGCGGCGTCTGCAGGAGAGCAGGCCGCTCCGGGCAGGCTTACCTTGTCCAGAGTGGCCACGAAAAGCAGGATGAGAATGAGGATGTGAAGGGCCGAGACCACCAGCAGGAGGAATGACATGGCTGCAGTGGAAGCCTAGGGTAGGGGGCGTCAGGAGATGGTGGATTCAGGAGGTTGGCACAGGGGAGGGTGAGATGCCCAAATCCTCGTGGAGAAAGGGGCTGGTTCCAGACTCGGGGGTCTGAGGCTGGGAGCCCGGAATCCTGAATCCCCCGGGGCGGAGAGGGCCAGGGATGGACTGTTGAGCCCAGGAATGATCGGAACTAGCACTGTGCTTCACTCGAGTCCCCAGGGCCCCGGCCGGGGTCAGGGCTAGGAACGTTCTAGTTGCAGCCCCTCCGGACGCAGCAGAAGCTGCCCCCAGAGACAGGCATCCTGGACTCACCCCACCCCTCTCCGTCTCTGGGTTCCGGGTGAATCATCGGTGACTCATCCCACCCTCCAGCCTCGAGTACCAGGGAAACCCCAGCCCCTGGCTGTGCCCACGAGGTCCCCGCCCCACCCTGCTGCCAGACTGGTGCCCCCGGTTGGGGAAATATGGACAGGATCTGTGTTTGGGGAGAGAGAGAGGCCTGAGAACAGAGAACCAGCCTCCCACCACCACCACGCAGTGCCCAGAAAGGGGAGGGGGCCCGGAGGTGGCCCAGACCTGGGGTGTTCTCAGGCAAAGTCCCGCTCTCGGGGTCCCCCCGAGGAGAGCGGACATCCGTTGGGGAAAAATTGCAGGACCTTCTCCAGTGGAGGGCTCTGCTGGGAAACCCCCCCCTCCCAAACCTTGCTGGGCCCCACCCCTTTCTGAATCTGCACCCCCAGGGCTAAGAGATCATTCCCGAAATTAAAAGTATCTCCATGGGGGTGTCCTTCCCAAGCGGCTGCACTCCCGAGTAAATAAAGGAATCCCAGTCCAGATAACGGACTGGAAACTTACCCCGCGCGGCCAAAAAAGTCAGAGCTGGAGTCTGTCCCTCGCTTGGGCCTCCGTGCCCCGCCCTTCGCCTGCCTCCTTCCCTTCCACCCTCTCGGGGCCCCCGCCTCCCTCGCCGCCTTCCTCCCTCCCTCCCTCGCTCTCCCCTCTGGCTCTCTCCGTCCGTCTCCCCTCCAACCCTAGAACCCTTTCTCTCTTTCTTTCTTTCTTTCTCTCTCTCTCGCCCTTTCTCTCCTGTCCTCACTGCCTATACCTTTTCCCTCTCTCTCTTCTCACTCTCCGGGTTTCTCTTCCTCTGCTCCTCTCAATATATATACCGACCCTTTTATACCCACCCTCACCGCACCCAGCTGAGGTTTGGCGCCAGAGGGAGGGCCCAGGCACTCTGGTTCTTCATTCTCTGAGCCCGCCCACTGCCCCCACATGCGAATCTGTTGGGGCTCCCTTCCAGGGTTGAGATGAGAAGTCCTTGGAGGGAGTGGAGAGGACCCGGGGTCCTGGGGTGGGGCGTCAGGGGTGGGAGGGCCAGATTCTCAGGCCTCTGCTCTGGGTCTTGTCCTGGGACCTGGGACCTGGGACCGGATGTCTGATTTTCTTTTCTTTCTTTTTTTAAAATATATTTTATTGATTTTTTACAGAGAGGAAGGGAGAGAGATAGAGAGTTAGAAACATCGATCAGCTGCCTTCTGCACACCCCCTAACTGGGGATGTGCCCGCAACCAAGGTACATGCCCTTGCTGCTCTGGGC